TTGCCCCCGATTACGAGACTAGTCCTCTTTACGGCTGTACAGGGGTCTACTGGTTCGCGACAACCGATTTCGACCCTCGTATGTATATCGGAGCCCCCTCTGATAAGGTACCCTTTGGTATCGGAGCATTTTCTGTATTGCAAAATGTAAGAAACGTGTCTGGCAATCCCTCACACCCGGAATCCCTCCACAAGAAGGCCACGCTTGTGGTGCGCGTCGTGTTATAATGTGGCGTGCATCCTTCGCTCTCGGCCTGTTACACAACAGAGTTGATTTGACAATCGACACAACCCATGTTGCGTGTGTGAACAAAGTTCGTGATTGGCCGTTGGCACGTGCATGTCCATTGGGCGGCAGGCAGTCGCCCCCGAAGGACCAGGCGTTGTCAAGTGTCAAGCACTATTCGCTTCTCGTCTGCACCAGCGGAAAGGAAGAACAATCTACGAAGTACCATGGTAGTACGTAATCGTCGCTTCCTGTGTCATGCACCAGCATGTTCTAGAGAAAGCTCCGCTGACTGAGTAGATCTAATGGATCAGGCGAGGAGCGGGACCGCAACTCGAAAAGGTGGAAGTTGGTGCACCCAGAATATGAGGTACCGGTTGTTGTTGTCTTCACATCAAGAACATTTCCGGTCTCTACTCGGGAGTTCCTGTAATATCCGTGCAGCTCCATTGCCTCGGCCGCCTTCCGTGGTCACAGGCAACTGCTGCTGCTGTACTTGTACCCCACAAATTGAAAGGGTCCTGGGTGCTATGCATACATGCACAATGCAAGTTCACACGCGTCTGCATAGATATACCGGCAAAGGTGTGTAGCAGAGAACTAACTGGCCGACCTGTTGACTTCTGGCTATGTACACCCCATCCACCCTTTTTGTGTAACACAACTACTGCACAGGTTACTAGAACATGCAGATCCGTAGCTTTCGCCACAAAACGACGAAGAGCCCGTGGGCTGCTTGCTGTACTTGCAACCGAAGAGACACGCGGCTAGACGTGGATCGGTATCATCATATGCCTATCGTACATATCGCCTGCCTACCGACCCTGGTTTTGAGTTTTGAAGGTGTGATGACCTACATCCGCGGATGATAAAGCTGGTACGCGCAGGCGGCGAACGCCCACCACTCTGGCGTGCTCTCTCTCTCCCTCTCTCTCACCCGTGAGCGGTTGTTTCCGGTGATGTGCCCATCACCCCCCTCTCCGCTTCTCTGCTGTCGTAACTACACTTTTTCCACACCAGCCGGCCAAGTCTCCAAAACGGCCGGCGTTGTGTTAGACCTCGGAGTCTCGCGGGGCGCTGTTCCCAGGACCGGCTTGTGGACTCTCTCCTAGAAACAGGGGCCCGCCTGGGTGACGGTTCTAAACCAGCCAAGGCAAGCGTCAGCGAGTCAGCTACGACAGCAGGCCAGCCAGCTGCTGAGGGAGGCGCTCACGAACAACATGCCTTGACACGCTACAAACCCGCCGCAGCGGGGATAGGGGACACACGTTTGAAAAAAAAACTTCATACCAGTACTTCATACAATCTTTAATCTTGCACGAGAGACTTGAGTTTTGACGGAGCACATCATGCCCAGTTTGCATTTAAGTTGCACATCAGCCGACCCGCTCCTGAGGGAAACACCTACTGTACGTTAAGCAACGCTCAAAACCTGTACAAAAAGTGTCTCAATGATTGAGGCTTCATTTTACTGAGCTACCCTACTGTACGGTTCGGTATAGCGACGGTCGCTGTATCTCAGTTCTCCTCCAATTTTGGCTGAGTTTTGTGGGGCTCTTTTGCTCCGACTGGTGATTGGTGGTGTGTTTCAATGAACACATGATGATGATAAAACACGCCGGATTAGAGACAGCAGCAACATTTTCCCAGGAGATCAGATGATACCGAGCGATGCCACGTGCCATCACCATCTACTCGAGGCCCGATAAAACCTGAGCGATTGTCATCATCCCAACCACAACAGACCAAGCCTCTCCTTCATTCTGCTGCTCGCCTTCTTCGATGCGTCTGTCTATCTCCCGGAGATGCCTGCTACTTGCTTTTCCTCGAATGTGGTTGACTAGATGGCCGGCCTGCCTGTCTGTGTGTCATCTCCAGAAAGCATGGACATATCTTGTTGTTGTCTATACCGTGTTTTCTGTCTCAGAGAGCTCACTGTTTTCGCCCACGGGTGGATGGATGGATGGATGGATGGATGGATGGATGGATGGATGCGGTGTTGCGTCGTGCGGCCTTGAGACCTTACATACGTACGCTCTCCCTCGTGGTGAGACCCGCCCGCCCGCCCTACACACTTGTTTGAATGAGCCCCAGGCTCCCCATCATCAAGCCGTGTGCACGTCATAGGTGACACAAATGGATTGAATTGGTGAATGATTGTGCTGACGAAACTTCGCACGCCCCCCCCCCCATTCTCTAAATCGCTCCTGAACAAACGCTTGTCGTCAGCTTTGCCTCGTGACCAACCCCCAAACGACCCGGGAATGCTGTTTGCCTGGAGGGTGGAAAAGTAAAAGACAGTGACCCCGAGTCGAATATACGTCATTGCGGTCAACTTGTGAACTTTCTAATCTCTCTTGAGCCGAAAATTTCTAAACTCTCAGTGGTGGTGCGTGTGGAGGGAGTACGAAAATAAACTACATATACTCGGTGTGTTGGGCACAGAGGCTGGAAATGGCCGAGGAGCAGACGCAGAACCCACGACTTCCGAGATGATGCGGATGCTAGATATCCGTGTACACAACTACAGCAATAGTAGTGGTCTGTTACGGTATGGGTACTTCTTGCTGGGTGCTTGAAAGCACATAATAATCTCCCCCTCCCCCCTCGGTGTTTGTGCCATCGGGGTTGGGTTTTCGTCGCTTGGCAACGACGTTGTAAAACAAGCCCATCATTTCGTGAGCTCGGCAACCAGGTTGTTACCGCTTTTTTATGGCCTCTGTTTGTTTTTTTCGCGGTAACCATAGTGAATGGTGGTCGAGTAGATTATGTTGTACGGGGTCGAGAACCCTCACTCCGCGCAAAGGGGATGGTGGCACTACGTTGTGTTAAATTGGTCAAGCACCCTCGAGGCAGTTACACAGTGGTTATATCTGTCTCTGGAAGTGCAAGCACCAGAAAATAAAGTAAGTCATACGCAGCTGTCGCGCGCAAGGAAGAAAGCACAAGATGCCGAGTACCCTTAGCAGGTGCAGCGCACCCTTCATGCGACTCTTCGAATAACTCACGGCGCTTCGCGCTTGGTGATGTGGGAGCCTGGTCCGGTGAGAACCCGGCGTGCTCCGTCCCGGCTTTGTAGGGATGCGAGATCAATAGTCTAACGACTACGGCATGCAAGACTATGAGTATGAGTACACCCCCTGTTGGTTCACCAAGGAGAAAAACGTTGCTTCATGGTCGACGCAGTCTAGCACGCTCTCACCGGTTAGGTTTGATTGCAAGGGGGGAAGATCGGAATCAATACTCGCCGTTTCACGAAAAAACACGATAACAGATAATATTACTGGCTTGTTTACGGAACTATCACACCCACAAGAACAATAATATGCGCCCCGACACTTGAACTCCAAGCCGTCGTCTGGGAGATCGCATGACATGAGTAGTTGAGACCCATACACAAACAGGAGGTTTATTGGTACACTTATGCACACTGGTCTGTTCGCTCTTTAGCGGAGTCATGGAAGGCAACGTCTACTTCAAACCAAGAAACCGCCAACATAAAGGGAAACATGCTCCACGATTGGCATCGGACGACAAACTAATCCATCGAGACCACTGGGTGGGTTCTTGAAAATGCTCTTCTTCAAAAACAAAGCGTGTACTGTTTCAGCGCGAATCGGACGATGAGACGCGCAGGTCGTGCGCCCGAAACTACTGTACACACATGGAAACTGCTTCGGAAAAGTTATTTTCCATTGAAGTGTCGCTATTCTCAGTCAACAAGCGCCAGCTAGCGTAGCACGATTTCCGACAAAGAGCCCGTACACTCAAACTCATACGGAGAACGGGCACAGCACTTGACACGGAAAAAACAATGAACCGTTCTACCTGGATGCCGCTGCCGTTGGGCTAGGGAAAGGTACTAATGTCACGTGGGCGTGCACCAGAGGAGGTTCCTGCCCGAAAAACGTGCTTGTCCGATTACAGGCGGCGGGCGAGGCTACTTGCAGGTAAGTTTGGCGAAGTCTTCGGGAGTGATCTGCCCGCACTTGTGGACCTTGCACTCCATCACCGGGCGTTGGTTAAGGGTTTCCCCCTCACTCATCTCTCGCAGCACTTTCAGGCCCTTGATGACCCTGCCAGTGTCATTTACCCAAGCGAAGTAGATAGACAAGGAGGGTTGCCGATGTGCCGATGTATATCAGGAGTGTGTGAGAGAGTCCTCATGCGACGGGGTGCGAGAGTATGGTACTAGGTTTCTTGTGGAGAGTGCAGAGCTCATTGCGTAGCAATCAATGATTGAAGTATTATATACGAAAAATTCGTTCGATGGTCATCCAGCTATCTTTGTTTGGCTGCAACACATGAAGGGTATTAACATGGATGACCAGTTCCAATCACAAGTAAGTGTCCAATTGCCCGTTCGCACAAACTCTGACGATGCGGACTACCTTCCACACGTGCTATGGTCACCGATCACCTGGTTCTGATTCGGTCACGGCCCGAAGACTAGGGGGATCATTACGTGAGCGGAGAGAGGGTCTTACTAGAGCTGAAGAGAGGGACCGATTTGTGGAGATCCACACAACAAATAAACGTTATCGCCTGCTAAGCTTGTGTTGACCCACGACGGACAGTCGGAGCGTGGTCGACACCTCTCAGGCCCTATGTCGTCTTTCCCAGGACCTTCGACGCCTTAAATCGATCATGCATCTGGACGCAAAGGGCAGTCGACATCCTCTCACCTGCCAAACCCGACCACTTTGTGGTTCAACCACGGCTGGGGCGCGAGGGTGACTAGGAACTGGGAACCGTTCGTGTGCGGACCGTCGTTTGCCATGGCCAGGACTCCGGTCTCGTTCAGCTTGATCGCGAAGGATTCGTCGCCGAAGACTTCTCCGTAGATCGACCAGCCGCCGTCCCCGGTCCCTGACACTATGTCCCCTCCCTGCACCCATCCGTCTCGTACCACGCGGTGGAAGGGGCTCCCCTTGTAGTTAAGCCTTTATGTTTGCGCGTATGTATGGCCAAGATGGGACAAGTCAAGTGTCAATCATATATCTTCCACGTTCAGTTTTTTCCCCTTTTCTTTAAGATGATACATTTATTTCGGGGTGCGGGATGCACGGTCCCGGGAGAGAAGTGGTGCGTGGCCATGCTCCAGCTATAGTCTCCTTGTTTCGGAGCGACACCAGGAGGTCCTGAACCTCACAATGTACGTGCGAAGAGCGTTACCTGTTCGGTCAAAGGCAGACGTGCAGCAACTTTGATCCCACCATCAGTCAATCCCATTGCTGCGCTTACTTTTTCCCGTTTGACGACATTCCTTTCTCGCCCGTGCAGAGGGCCCGGAAGTTCTCGCACGTGGTGGGGCAGTCTTGGCTGTACAACTGGAACACAACTCTCTGTGGTCGAGCGGATGGATCTAGGGAGATATCCATGAATACCAATGGGCACTGGCTGCTAGTGAGGTGTTTCTGCGAATCGAGCGTGGACATCGGCAAGAGAGACTCACAAGGTGAGCACGGGGTCAGGTGACGCATCAGAGCACGACAATAATAACATTTGGCCGTGTTTTACGCGATTGTGCCAGCTCTCAAGCTCATGAATGTTTTCGCAGGGAATCATAGCGGTCAAACGTAAAGCATGCACTTCATCAGGACTACTAGCTTTTCTGTAGCTCCCTTTTAACCTAACACAATCATCATGGCGGTCGCCCTTTCGTACAGCTGTAGGTGCCCTCAATCCCTCCGCTCTTTCTCCACCAAGGGCTATACTACATACTACATGGTGCCTACGGTGTGAGTTTCCAGGCATGGACTCTACGTTGAAGAGCCAGTCAACTTGTACCCTCTTAGAGTATCTTGTAGAAACTAGAAACATAGCGACAAGAGGGAAACGATCTTGCTACGCACAGTAACTCACCTCGCATTGCTGTTGCGCTATTGCAACCCAATCCGTATTGTCGCCTTCGCTCCTATCGAATGGAGGGGCAACCGTGGCCTCGGCAAACCTAATAAGCTCTTCTATCCCACCCATGTACGTCCGGCCGCCATCTTGAAGCACAAGGTGCTTCTCTGTGTGCTGTTCGTGGAAACAAAAACAGAGCGTACACGTGGATACTGCTGTATGAGTGCAACCCAACACAAAGTAATATAATTGAGACAGGGTGCGGAGATCAAGCGCACGCACCACTCTGCGCACCACGGGTTCATACCGTACGTATATACTTGTATGTTCTAGGCTAGCCTGTCGACCGCAAAAGGCAACGGAGATTTGGTTTCAACCGAACATAAGCCAACGTCGACGTACCTCAAATATTCTTCCTCCGACCTGTGTCTTCTTTTCTTTCAAATACTCTTCCCACTGAGTCTCGTAAAGGGGCATCGACGTGACCCTCGCAGAAATCCCGGAGTCATTCAGGACTCTGACTAATCGACAGCAGCGGTGAAAAGAAGCATCCGAGACGCACCCAACCACCACGATTCCATTGCTCGGCGACGACATGCGTAGAATGCGTAGAGCCAGCTGCAATAGGTGCGAGGTGGTGGCGACGGAGCAATACTCGAGATTATGTCGAGACACAGGACAAGAGACACGCGAGATAATACTGCTCCGCTGAGCGATCCGTGCATATAAGTAAACGGTGCTGGACGTTTCATGCGGCGAGTTTGACGATGCGGCGAGTTTGCTCCACAGTCCTGCCGGGTTGCCGCCGAAAGAGTCACATTAGAGCAGCACACAGAGATGAGAGACAAGAGGCAGGGCGGCAAAGCATACCCAAGGAACAAAGAGCACACCACATCCCAGACCACAGAGAAGTGTGCTCTTTCCCCGTTCCCAGAACGTGATATCGTCAAGGCTACGCTGCTGGTGAGCGAAAAACAGCTGGGTCGCCACTACGGCGGTGGCTCTAGAGAAACCAACTTCAAATCCGCGCGCGCGCTGTTGTTGCAAATTTGCAAGTTTGTCATGCAGACACCCATGACCAGAGGAGCTGCTCTCTGTCTTCTTTCCCTCTCGGTCTCGCGGCGTCGTTCTGCGCTAAGGTTTGGCCAACGTCTACTGCGCAGTGCTCTTCTATGGCCAAACCTGAGCAAATTGAGCAGAAAACAGGGAATGTTACATAGTCTACGTGCATTGCCTGCATGGCCCTGGGAATGCGGACGGACGTCGTCTGATCCAGTTGGAAAGGCCGATGTTGCAGGGCACTTGGTAGAGATTGGAATATTTCGTTATGGTGAAGACAACAGCAGCAACAGCAACGACGCGCAGAATGAAGCGCTTCTCTCCGCGACCCCCCTGCTCTGCTGCAGTTGCCGCTGTTTCCGAGGAGCGACGACTGCACTCGTGCATTGCTTTATTTAGCACCATGCCGTGCGCCAAGAAGGACAAGAGCAAGATTACACCTTTCCAATCGCGGGTATACGAAACAATCAGGTGCAGCAATTCTTTCCTCGAGAGAGGGCAGCTATTTCATCACCTGTGCGAGCCAGAGAGCTCCAGCATGCTTGAGATAGAGCAGAGCACGACGTATGGTATCATGTCTACGGGCACAAGTCAAGCTTTCAGCCCGACCGCGTGCGGGACAACTGCTGTTGACCGTTGTGTATACGCCGTCCGTCCTGATGCCACAGAAGGAAGGAAGCAAGCCTGTAGAACCATCTACATAGTGACGCGTTTGGAGAAAACTGCTGTTGTCCACAGAGTAGGGCTTGTTTACTGCTGAAGACCCCTATACTGACACGCCTTCTCTTGTGCTTGATGATTCGATCAATCCCAGTGGTATCCCCGCAGGCAAGATCTCAACATACGGAGGAGTGGCGAAAGTTCTCAACTCCAGTGCCCGTGCTGTAGGTGGGGCTCTCAGGGTGAGCCCTTTCACCCCCCCCTGTTTTTCCATAGCCTTCACGCGAGGCCAAACGAAACGCCGTTGGTTGCGTGTTCGTTCATGTCTAGCTCTACGGGACACAGCAGTCATTGTTTCGCCGTACGTAGCCTCTAGGGAGTTCAACTTGCGGGAGGTCAACGCACTGCTCGCCTAAACCCAAACGTATTGAAACCCACCAAGGAAGTAACTTTCCGTCCCGGCCTTCATACCGCCATGCAAGGATTAGCAGGAAATCGACCACGTTTTGTTGGAGAGGGCGGGGGGGGCGGAGTAAAACCTCGCGCGTAGACCTCGCTTTTACCATGTGAATGCCTTGACGAGGACAGAGCACGACGGTCCACTACTGCTGTTGGCCTCTTTGTGCAAAATGTATCGGCGGAGAAACAGGGTTAGCTCAATATCGCTCAGCGCATGAAATCTCGCCTGTGTCTTCTTGTTTTTGTCGCTTTGTTCCATCGTCATTTTGCGTTTCGCTCATCTCTGCATACATTTGGCAATTGGCTAGCTGTCATCCGCTTGACCTTCTCCCTCGTCGAATCGCATAAAAACGAGCAGCGGTGTCTGTAGATTGATGTGTGGTCTATGCTCCTTCCATTTTGTTTCGTTGTGGCCCGCGCCTCTCTTTGAGTGTTGGTGATCCGTTCGGAACCAACCTAACCCTTTGTTCGCTTCTTTGACTAGCTAGCCTCTTGGCGGCGCGTGCTTTGTTCACGCCACTGCTGCGACGTTTGCCTGCAATTCGCGGACGCCTACCCTGCGCAGGGCAATCCGTTCGCCCCCGTGGTTCCCTGCCATCGCGTTGTCATGAGTGACCTCACCATCGGAGGTTTCAGGTGTGAAAAAGCGCCCCGCGCTTCGTCGCCGTTGTCGTTATCGTTGTTGTCGTCGTTATCATCGTCGTTGTCGTTGGCAAAAACAACGATATAATCGGGGATATCAAGCCCGCGAGAAGGAGAATTGGTCCTATGACGCCGTTTCGTTCGGGACTGTGAATCGGGTCGATCGTCCAATTGGATAGCCCGATTAATATCCGAAGCTGAGGCATGCATTAGGAGGTAGTTGTGTCGAGAATTTTCCCCATGCCCACTGATATTCTTGTCACTGTGTTAATCGGCACTGCTACCAAAATTGCGACCGTATTCCAGCTCACGCGAGTTTGCCGTCTCATTTCACGAACGATGCCCGGGGGGAATTCAATGTTCCAATACCGTCTGTGTCCAGTGGGAGCTTTGGAGACTGTGCCGACACGCGCCGCAAGAGGAAAATGCTGGAAGATGAGGGTGTGCGTTTCACCAATGACAAGGTGATAAACATATCCGCGAAGTTTAGTGTCCGAATTTCAACACTGCGTCCAGAGGAATAGTCCCGAAAGGGCCGTGTGCTTACTCACACCTATGCTGCTGTTTTTTCGTAGCCCAACTCGGCGGAAGAAACAACATGAAACGAGAGTATGACACACATTCGATGTTTCCTTCCATTTAGAAGGACAGTGTTGGTAGGCGCGTGTCTTGCTGAGACCTATTATAGTGCTAAAGTGGGGAAACAGTTGGAAAGGTCAGGGAGAAACCAAACAGAAACAAGCGACAAGCATGATCGTATCTAGCTGCCCACCACGCTGAGAGAGTACCCTCTCATGACGACGGATATTGTGCTGCCCCCCCCCGCCCCCCCCTACGCCGATGCGCGCTTCTCCTTGCACCGGTACGCGTGCTGCCACGATCAAGGTGTCCGGCAACGCATTTGTGCACGTGTTCTCGAGCCCCCCAGCAGGGGGCGACAAGAAGACACCATTGAGCGGAAAGAGGAAACGAAAGGCGCCATCGACAGAGGAAGAGGGATTAAAATAGAACCATCCTTTTTGTCTGTCTTTTCAACTACAACTAATAGCTGCTCCGCCGGGCAACAGATTTGTATTTTGAAAAAAGAGATAATATGAGACGGTTGTCTCCAGGTTCGCGTGTGAGCAAGTTCCCTTTGGGATGTGTGGTGTGGATACACACCGGTTCAACCTCTGGTGGAGAGGCTGACGAGTACGGATAGTTGTGTTGTGAGTCAAGGGGGGGAGCAACCTTGTGTTGAAGCAAGGTTCAGCATCCATCCGACACTGACTCTATCTGCGGCAACACCCCGAAGGTAGATCTCCAACAGGTCATCTGACGTCACAATCTATTACAGTCTGAGGTGGCATTCACAATAATGAGCTTCTTTTCTCGGCATCACCTAGAGTAGATGAGACATCACAGCAGTGTCGAAGGTGCCCACCCACTTCTGGTGTTTTGTGCCAAGGTGAAAGGAGAAGCGAAAAAGCCTGGGGAGTCAGCGTGCGGACCATTTACGCTTTTTTAAAAGGTGCTCTGCTCCACGCTGTCAATGCTGTGCCTCATCCAAGGCTTACCCGGGGCAGAACATGTGGGCACCGGGGGCGGGCCGCGGAACAGCGAGCAACCAAGAAAAGGTCCGAGAATAATCACGGCTATTTTTTCGAGAGGTACGTAACGGAGTTCCATGCACATTGGTGTACGCAACGAGACGAGCCAACGATGTCTGGCGGAAGCACGCCATGGTCGATGTATCTGCTCCGAATCGGAGTGAGATCTTCAAGAAGGACGTGTTCCTGATGCATTATGTATTGTCATATCAACGCTGTAGATTGGACGTTACAACTACAACCGCTGGCCTTGCACGCGTGGCCAGACCAGCCAATCGTCACACCGTTGTCACGCCACGAGCTACATCACCACTGTCTTGAACAAGGAGCCAACATCCACGCCCGCTCTAGAGGCAGGTTCCGCCCCAGCTACAGCCCGCCCGACCTACAGCAGCAGCACGACCGGGCGCTACAAATGAGGACTCCAATGAACGACAAACGAAAAAAATCTCTCCACGTCACGCGCCAGACAAAACATGCCGACGGATGTGACGGACAACGCTACAAATATTAACAACGGACAAAGCTCTGTATAACTAGAGCAAACATCCAGAAGAGACTCCCACGGGAAACAAACCGAAACAACAAAACAAGACGAGCTAGTTTCACAGCCTGGCATGGTAACAAAACGTCCCACAAGCCGCACACTTGCCGACAGAAGCGCCCACGCTCTGGTTAGTCACCACAACGTTGGAGGAGAAGCCGTACCATGTGAAATCTCCCCCTCCCCCCCCCTCCTCTAAGCGCACTTTTTGGCAACACGTAAGACTACATATTTTTCGAATCCGGAGGGCTGTGCGTTTAAGCCCTCCCTCCGTACAGCATGGAGTGGATGGTCAGGGAGGGTGAGACCCCCGCAACCGTGGGGAGCGCGTTCACGAGGGACGGTACAACACCGACGAATGCACACGACAAGCAAGGGAATGGCCTCTCGCCGAGACAGCATATCCATTGCGAAGCAAACCGATCTCCATCGCCCAGAAGTCGGACTGGTATCATAGCGGTAGTGACAAAACACGATAAAAACGCGCGTGCGGAATCCTCGAGTCGGCGCATAAAATACACAGAAGCCATTCCCCAAATACCCAGGCAGGCTTCCGGGGAAGTACGCTTTCCGAAAGATTAAATCTGACGCCAAGAATGGATGAGGATGACGACGTTCCGCACACTTACAACACATTTTGACAGAATCCAACACATTTTAGCTTGCGTTTTTACCCACATGGACAGACAGCCAGGGGGCACCGCTCCCTCCCCGCGTGAACAAACTCAAAACAAAGGGGGGGGGGGGGAGGTGAACAGAGAGAGATACAGAGAGGGCTATGCGCCCTTACCGCTTCTTCCAAACGACACACCACACACGCAGTCAAAACACCCATACTCATCCCGCTGACCGTCAAAGCCTCTCACGGAACGCGCCGAGGATGTCCACGGAATGCAAGACCATACCATGGTAGTAAGCCAACCCTCCAGAGAGTCGCCACACACGGCCTCGAGCGTCATCAAAACCTTACACGGAACGCGCCGAGGATGTCCACGGAATGCAGAACCATACCATGGTAGTCAGTTACCCTCCAGAGAGTCGCCGTACACAGCTCCCTTCCTTGCGCCCCGCCTCCACCCTGCAGCCCCCACCCCGTATCCCGTTGTGCTTCCTTGCTGGAACCTGGCTCGCCAGCAAGGCGTGGTACGCGGGGGGTGGTTCTATATGTTGCCCATGGACGTGACCAAGCCGTGTCCGCCATGATATTGCGTCTGCGTTAGGGCTGACGTCTGGAGTTTGCTTGACAAGTCTATCGACGCGCCAACCACCTGTGAACAGACGAGCAGGAAGAGGAGAAAAAGACAGCGGATGGAACAAAATACGAACCTGTTAACACAGTTGTGAGTAGCGCTACTAGAGAGGGGAAAAAGGAAGAACTAAGAATTACATCCATGTCCCCGCTGGTGTCCTCGCCAAGCGCGTGTTCCTCGTCGGCAACAAGCCAACTGCCACACGAAAGCAATTTGCAGCAGTACCTTTCGTACCTTACCACAGTAGCAAAGCTTTCTAAGACGCAGGCATGGACCATTCAGCTACTGTACGGTACGAGAACGCCGATGCCATAAAACGCCAAGCTCGTGGCCGTAGCAAGCGGCATGGACGGCCAGTAAAACGTCCGTCACAAGGTACAGTAACCCGAACGGCGCCAGACAACATTGACAAGGTCAGTGATGCGCCGCACGTCTCTATATACCGCACTGCCAGACGCGGGTGCCTTGGCCAAACCAACTGTGGAACATGCGCGCACCCCAGATTTCGCGTGCCTGCAACACACGAACTCGATGACGACGAAAACAGAAAGCACACGCCTTGAGATGACCGCGTGGCGTGGAGCACGGCCCCGACCAGTGCGGCAGAGTATCAACTACTGCTATCATAGTTGTTGTTGTTGTTGTGCACTTCCCATCCTTGTGCCTCGCACAACAACTACTGCTGTTGTCAACTTCTAACCCCTGTGCCTCGCACAACCACTCGGCCACGAGCCACCCGTCACCGCATCGCCCCGGCTTTCGGGGGGCTTAGCTTGCTGCGCCAAAAGCCGAAAAAACTCACGTTGTTCTCGAAGTTCTGGTCGTGGACAAAGTTGACGGTGTCGATCGCCTGATCGACGTCTGCGCGTACACGGAAAACGTGCAAAAATCCGACAACAGTGGCAGTGTCGGTCAGGCAAGGTACTGAAGCTGCGGGGAAGCCCAAGGCGGTGTAACAAAATACGACCGTCCTGCCAACAGAACCGGACTGCTGCTGAGTCAAACCTTCTTTCTGGGCAAGGCGCTGATTAAAATGAGAGCAACGAGTGCACTAACTGCAAGGCCGGAACGACGGCCGCACATTGAGATACGGCGCTCTTCGACACTACGATACACTCCATCCATGAAAGGGTCTCGATCAACCGCTGATACAGAAGCAAAAACATATCCCAAAAACTGACGGACCGCACAGCACCCGATTTCAAGAGAGTATATGTGCACACCATCTCTCCGCCCCGTCCTAAAGCTATAAAGAACAAGGGGGTGCGGGGGGACGCCACAACAATGCAGACCTTTCCCGTTCACTACAAGCACGCTTAAGACCACAACCGATCAAAACCCTCTCGGGTATCACGGCCGTCATGATGCCATCCAGACGCAACATGTGGTGCACGTAAGGCCGTCAGCCTGTCGGAGCACGGTTATGTCGGCGTTTCCAGGGTTCAGGCGCTCGCAGCACCGGAAAAAGACCTGTCAAGGGAGTTCCCCACCAAAAAAATGAAACGGCCATTTCTTGGGGGCCGGGCCAAAGCTGCCGCCCGTACGGCAGCACACGGGGGAAAAAAAAACTTCGACTGCTGTGGTTATCCCTCGAACGGGAAAACTCACTCTGGACTTGCGGATTCGGGCTGGGATTCAAGAACTTCTTGAGGTGATCGTCGTGCTCTCTAAACCCGTTGCAGGCCTGGAGCAGCTTCTGCCTTCGCGCCTCCACCTCCACATCGTTTCGCGGCTCCACTCTTATGCTCTGGCTCTGATCACAACCAAACACGCGAGGGCGGAGGGTTTGGGCTCCCGGTTAAGTTCAGAGCGAACCAAAATGCGAACCAATAGAGAACGGATTGAGAGCGGTGGGTTTGAGCTCCACTCTTACGCTCTGGCTCTGGTCACAACCAAACACGCCATGGCCGAGGGTTTAGGCTCCGGGGTTAGTTCAGAGCGAACCAGGGCGGAGGGTTTGGGCTCCGGGGTTAGATCAGGGCGCAAACGGGGGAGAAATTCCGGATTGGGTTCAGGGTCAAGGCTTGTCGTGTTTGTCTTCGCATCAAAACCGATGGTACTTCTTTTCCTCAGCAGACACGTCCGCTTCTCCAGAAAATGGTTAACAAGGGAAGCCAACAACAGTGAGGAAAGGGTTACGCAGTACTAGAGTACATCACGTTTGTGCCATATGGGGGGAGTAAGATGTGGGATTTTAAAAGGAGAGCTATTATAGTTTGGTTCGGGACAAAACCAGGGGGTTCGATAAAAAACCAACGGCTGCGGCGAACGGTGAGAGTGTGCACTCCCGGCTCATTTCCTTCCTTCTAGTCAAACCTCACTCACATCTATCATGCGGTCCTGGAAGGTCTGCACTAAGTCCTCAAGACGTTGTGTTTCGCGCTCTTCGTACCTGAAACGCCAAGAAAAAAGAAAAAAAAAACAGAGGGCAGCACACACCGTTGCGGCGCAAGGGTTGGCAAACGCGCGAAGAGATTGTGACTGAGGCTGACCACTCACGGCCCCAACTACTTTTACGGAATGTGCTAACCCCAAGCGGACAAACAAGCACAGTACGTACATGGGACGAATAAGCAAAGGCTGGCAAGGAGGGGGAGCCAAATCGGCCACAAGAAGGGGACGGAGCAACATTTCACCGTTCCCCCGGTCATGTAGCGACTGCGCGACCTAAAGACCGACGTTGCTAAAAAATGAAACTGTTCTCTAACGATGCAGCTCATTTTTTTGGATGAACGCACCCAGTGCTGGATAAGACAACCATTTTGCTGGGTAAGACAACCAATGCTGGATAGGGACAACCAACGCTGGATGGATAAGACAACCAACGCTGGATGGATAAGACAAACAACGCTGGATAAGACAACCAATGCTGCCAACTGACACCGCCGGTCCATCGGCATCACAACCAACTCTCCAGTCAACTAAATAGCAGACAAATAAAATATACTTCCGCCCGTCCAAGCACCCCCCCACTTGTGACAGGAGGACGCGTGCATGCCTCTACCAACCGCACGGGGGATGAACATACCAACCGGCAAACCTTGGTTGCACAAAAAAAAAAATCCAAGCCCTTGAGCAGCCGCTCGGCTGCTAAGGCAACGAGCACTACGGGTGCGATGCGTTAAACCGTCAGTCAGCAAGTTGTTTCTGGTTGGAAGACCCGCCTGGACATGATAATACGTCTTCCCCCCCCCCCCCAAAAAAAAAAAAACGACAAAATTCTGTAAGCGCTGATTTAAAGTGACGAAAAAACAAAATGAACGAACAATGCGCGCACGTACGTACGTAGTATGGGCGTTTTACAATATCCTTGAACTCCATCAAGAAATTCCCAACAACAGGCAGAAGAAATTTCTCAATCGCGGCGCTATGTATATACATGTCGAGGGATATCGTCACTCACTCTGCAACGAGATCGTCGTAGTCGCTGTTTGGGTCGTCATCGGGCGCTTCGATCTGGACGTTCTTCCCGACCTGCGTGTACGGCAAAGGGGACAGACGATCAGCATGTCCCAAGCCGTTACAATAATGGAAGCTGATTCACACATCAACGTGTCTCGCGGGTGCGGGTCGAAGGTTTGGAAACGTTCCCACAACCAAGTGTTCAGAGTTGCACGGGCGGCGTCTGTGGTCGTGTCGGTGGGCCCGAAGAAAGATTAGTCGCAATATCGTCCGGGTTGCCACCGTGGTGATTTCCCTGAGTCCCGCTTTCGCAGACGAACACCTCCGAAGATGCCATGACCGCGTGCGCGGCGGTGGCATCGGCGGCGTTCGTTGACGCTGCGAGAGCGGGACTCAGGGAAATCAACACCGCCAATCCGGGCGATATTAATACGAGTAGTTCTTCGGGCCCGCCAGCACGGCCACAGACGCCGCCCGTGCAACCCTGGACACTTCGTTGTGGAAATGTTTCCTGGGCTTCGATCGGCACCGAAAAGACACGCTGATGTGTGAAATAGACCAACAGCGAGGTAAATATTGCGGTTGCTCCAAACCTTAAACTACAGCAGCAGCAGCAGCACACTAGTCTCAAAACGAAAGCGTGGCAAAATATGCAGCAGGTTTGTCTCACTCACTGTTAAAGCTTCAACACCCCCCTTCAATTTGTGGAACGGTTAGTGATAGCATGTATCCTGCTGCCAAACAAGTACCGAAAGGCGGCATCAAGCCACAATCAGGAACGCCTATCGGAAAACGCACGGTAACACAACTAACACTGCTACCTCTTGCTTGCGACGCAAACGCACCAAGGGGCGTCGCTTCCAGTGCATGCCAGCCAGTGCAACCGCATCATGCGCGATCGGAGCATCGCCTGCCAACGAGGCTACTTGTGATATGATACACTTCATTTTTTCTCCACGATGGCAAGGGCGAATTCTTCAAACGACCTCATACTTTCGAGAAAAGAAAATGTCTCTCGCGCGGCCATGGGAAGCCTCCATATACCATTCACGCCTGCGAAGAAACGAGGTCAGATCTATCGTCATTGGCGGGGGTGTACTCAAGGCCGTGCAGCCATAGTCGTTAGTTAGACCATTGACCTCGCGTCCCTGCAAGCCCGGACGGGGCGTGCCTCACATCTCCAAGCGTCATCAGGAGGGGGGGGGGCGATAACATTAGGCGGTGTCTTGCACGGCGGTGCAGAGTGTGGCGGGTGAACTACACACCTCTAAGAAGCTAAGCATAGAGTCGCTGTTGGTGACCTGGATCTTCACTAGCGCTCTCCCCAGAAACGCCTGCAAGTCCTGGCTTCGCTCGTTCAAAAAATCTGGATCGAATCTGCCGCGACGGCAGCGAGAGACGACGAAACAAAAAGTTACGAACAATCAGCTTTCGGTGCACGCCCCAAAACAGAACATCCGCCTAAATGGTCCGATCACGCCAATGGTTGCACGAACGCCGATTAGCCTTCGCGAGGACGTTGAGCTTCGTAGGGGGTACGGGGTGGGGTTGGGAGATAGGGATACGAACCCCCCCTCTCTATTTCATAGATAAAATCCTCGCGATTTGGTAGTCCCGTCCAGCGTGGGGGTGTCGAACTGTTGTTTCTACAAACGGTCCTGTCTCGAATCCCTCCGCGTCATCGTCCGCCTCGGGGAAAGACCGCCTTCGTGATACATTGAGCTTACGGGGGGAAAACATGAACAGGGAGGTGGTACACAGACACTTATCCCCCTCCCTCGCCCGATTTCCCCAGTTGCAGCCATACTGCTGTATGTCCAACATTGTCACATAAAACGAAAAACCCTGAGGAGGTTACTGCTGTAGGAGAGCCGCCTGGCCTCCCTGTGCTCCCGTGCGGCGGGGTCACGGCACTCGCACGCACGGATTGCCACTCACACAGGCGAGCCCTGCTGGACAATCGAGCGATTCATTCGGTCTGTCCTGCAAGGGCTTGCGCAGGAGGCCTTAGCAATGATGACCTGTAGCACCAACGACTATGCACTTTGTTGGACAAACCATGTCCTTTGCACCAGAAACGTGTTATTTTCGTCCCAACCATTCCGGCGCCACTCTACACCTTCCGGCATCCATTTTGATGTTTAAGCCGAAGTCACAAAGACGAGGAAGGTAAACACCAGAGGGCCATTTTTTCTTCTTAATTGTCCACATTGCCCCTGCGGTTGTTGTCTTCGATACCGAACGCGAGACAGGGGTTTCAGCAGTCACTTCCCGCATGATTCGTGTATGCTCAAGAACACATCGCTTTCCAACCACAAGCCTGCAAACTATTCACTCCCAATAGACGTTCGAGACCACAACCAGCTGCTAGCAGCTTGACGAGGTTACCCGCTAGACCACCGGGGACACAAGGACAAAATTACAAAAATATCAACAAAAGTTCTACCCGCACCGCAGTTGACGCCCTTACACCACCAAAATAAGAATCTTCTCCGACCTGTTGAAGAATCTCCTTTTAGGCAGCGGCCCCAAGTCCGTGTCTCTGAACTCCCGCGAAAGCCCTTGGTGAAGCGTAACGAAGTCATTGAACCGCTTCTCGATCACCCAGTTAGACCCTCGAAACGACACCTTGTGAGCAAACATTAAATATCAACAGGGGCGTGCACGAGTAAAAAAATTAGAACAGGGTACACTGGTTACGTTTTCCGCTAGCGTGTTTTTCGGGACACTACAGTACTGCATTTTTTTTTTTGCCACAACAGTAAATAGAGCACGGAGTTGGTAAGGCTGTGTGTAGAGTTGTGTTGCAAAACTATTGTTTTTTCTTCTTCTGAATATGACCCAACGAATCCATCTCTATCTAGGAAAAGAGTCTAAGTTAGATTAGCAGCGAAATCATAGCGTCAGAGAAAGCTACCTGTATTTTCGCGTTTTCCCGATTGTAATTGTTTCGTCGAGGTTCGCTGGGCTCTTCGAGTGAAAAATACGCCAGCTGCGTGGGGCTGTTGATCTACAGGAAATTGTCACGACTAGCAGCTGGCAGCCAGCTGTGGGGTGGTTTTGCTACTACTGCTTTTGTTTCATCTTTCATCACCACCTTGATGACACCATACTCTCATGGGCCCACTCCAGCGGGATGGATCCCTTGTATATACCTCGCCATAAAAAGACTGCACAATGATGTAGGCCAAGTCTCAGAAACCCTACCGGACTCTTTATCTGTGGATTAAAATTGTTGTTTCACAAGAAAAAAAAAAAAAGTGGCCACCCGTGGTTCTTGTCACCTTTATACGGACAGAAAGCTCCATATCTTATTGCGCAATCCTGTAGAGCGGTGGGTCTGTGTGCGAAGGCAGACGAACACAACTTTTTCTGTTAAGGGGTAACGTCGTAGGCAAAAACGATTGATCAAGATGGAGCCTCACTTAAGAATCGTGTGTATCCTCGGAAAATTGAAATTTGTAGGGCTGGGGACTGGACCAGTAGGTACTGACAGTATTCTTGTACTGGACAGTTTCCTAGGACTGGTTCAGAGGGGTGCCAGTACAGCCAGTACTTCCGCATGTTACGTACGTCCCACATTTATGCCTCCCAAACCACACGGAAACCCACCAAGTTGCGCCGCATGAGAGGGTGAGAAAGGAGCGCAAGCACGAAGCATGCACACCCGCACTCGAGGGATGGTGCAACCGCGTGAGCGATGGACGAATTTGTCACTAGCAGCGATGTGCCAGCCGCAGACCCGGGCGGAGGGCCTCAGAGTCCAGAACCCGCCGCGGCCTCGGAAAAAAAAACAAGCCGGGCCTTTTTGACTCATCATTTAGAATGGCCATAATAAAAAATTCATTCTGTTTTTTCTCCCCAGCAAAAGATACAGGCTGGCCACCAGCGGCGTGATCTCAATAAATGCCTTCCAGTTTTGCCTTCCAGTTTTGCTATCTAAATTGCTGAAAAAAACGAAGCACACACATTAAAAATGAGCACGATCTTGATGAAAAATGAGAACCATCTTGTCAAGGCTTTCAAGGTGAAGATGTGGTTTGGAAGCAGCATCATGGTAAATATGTTGAATTCACCCAACCAAAGCTACATGCTAAATCGGATTTAGCATGTTGTCACACCCAACCAAAGCTCTAAGAAAAATTGCCAACACATTGTTTGATCATTTTTCAAGGGTTTCAAGGATATAATCCCTGACTCTGGCATCGTCAAAGTGACCCAAAATCACCCCAAAAAAAAGTTCTATTTGTAGTGAAGGCAAATCCCGTAAAAACGCGCCTCCGGCGGGGCCCCCTCATCAGCTGGGGGAGGCCGGTGGTCGAGGCTGCACCGCGACCACGCGGCTTCGCTGCGTGGCCAGTGTACTGATAATGTCCAGTAAACAAAATGGCTGCGTGCCGAAGCCAGTATTCCTGAGACTGGCGCGCCAGTCCCCAACCCTAGAAATTTGGCAAAAAAGGACTGCCTCTTTGACCAGCTCCAGCGTGGTGGGAAAGGAAGCAAAGAAAGTCAGTAACTCGACCACCAAAATACCCACATATACAAGGGTGTTTTCTGCATGATACTTCGTACAAGTGATTGGGCTCATGACCGCACGATTCAAAGGGGTGATATGATAAGTCCAAGATGAATTTGAAAGGAGGGGCACCGCGGACACAGCCGACTATTTACCAGTTGCCAGCTGCTTGCAGCATAACGTTTCCTAAGTTCCTAAGCCCAACAGCTCACACAGCAGTAGTGCCGTGTTTTTCACTCCGAAGAGCCCAGCGACCCTCACGGACCGAAAAAAGAACATCTTAAAATGCACCAACCAGTCATGCGTTGTCGCGGAAACGGAAATACAACACGCGTCTTTTTCGCTTTGCGAAAACACCTCGGTGCGATAATTACTTTTCCCGTCTATTTAGGTGCTTTGCCGAGTACCATACAAGCGGTTTTACGCATACGGGCAGAGTTAAAATACGTGTACACGTACACGGCAGGCGCCCACAAACCCGGCAGTTCTCCTCCAGTAGACAGCAGTGCTTACCACTGACCTCACAGCGTCTGCGTCTATGTACTAATTCGCATATGTACGTACCACAGGCGATGCAAACCAGCAAACCTGGCGGATAAAAAAGGGTGGTGAGTGCGTGAGCGTGGGGGAATTGGTGGTCTCCACGTCGGAATGCGACAGGAACACCACCGCCGTTGTTGTTACAAAGTTACATGCACGCCGACCTCGGCATCTACCCACTGCTGTACGCTGACCTCACACGCAACCCGTGGTGCTTGGAGTTAAAGTTCTTAGCGGTTGGATTGGAGCATGCGAGCGATAGGTGCCTTTTAACGGGGACTAAAAGATGAAGCCCTCTCCGCGTGTCAACCATTTTTTTGCTTGTGACGAAGTCAAGGTCATTGCCCCGACTACATCTGTACGGTAGCGGCACCACCAACTTGGCACCATCGTTGATTTTCGCACAGCGTTGTGTGAAGACTGCTGTGTGCCATCGCTCCTTACAAGCAAAGCTTCAGCAACACAACTACCGGGCAAGGAAGACTGCAACACGGCAGGGGGCATAGTAGTCTCGTCGTGGTGCCGAATCAGGTCGTACGTTCATTAGTACAACATGACTGATGCGAGCGCACACACAAACGCAAGGTACTTGTAGGGACCGGCGAGAAACGTCAACCAGGGTACCGGGCACTTCCGCTCTCGAAACTATCCACAGCAGAGGTGTACCAAGATTCTAGAGAAACAGCAAGTACGCGTGTGTTGTTGTCAATAAGCTTGAACTTCAGGCAGAAGAGCAGCAGCAGCAGCAGCAGCAGCAGCAGCAGCAGCAGCAGCAGCAGCAGCAGTGGCAGCGTGTCGAGAAGAACAATCAAGAGGGATAAGGCAGACCTTGGACCAGGAGTTGTGGCGTGAGATTTCACTCGACACATTCTGTGTGTACTCGACACAAACACGTGTTTACTCCGCCCTCGCTTGGGATGTTGTAGACTTTAGATGACTCGCGAGCACCGGGTGAGAAACCTTTCATTCGAGGCAACAGCAGCACAGCCTGATCGCACACGCACGACAAAAATCGAAAATTAAAGCTGTGCCTCTCCGTCCCTCCCCCTGTAAAATCACGACAAGACCCAAACCACAGCAGTTTGTGCGAGATCGACGATCGATCGCGCACTATTGGTGTGTGTGTCTACCACTTGCAGCAGCAGCTCACCTCGATGTTGAACACCACGTACCCCGCTGGTATCTTGTCCCAGTAGTTGATCCTTGCAGTAACGATGGAAGTCATCGCGGTGAGCGCGGGTACGGCGGATACCCGTCGATTGACTCAACTGAACAGCTGAACACCGTGTGGAGCGCACCACACAGAGCAAGACTCCCACACAGACAGAGAGAGCGAGTGTTGGGGGCCCGCAGCTAGGAACATGGGGAGGGGGCTTCGGGATCAGCACTGCAGCAGCCACACACAGCACAGAGCAGCGGACATCGCAGGGGAGCGGACACTTGCGGAGTCGTGGGTGCCCGAGAGAAAACTGTACGACGACGTAGCAGGTTAATCTGGTCGGCGCCCGTCTTACCTAGCCAACGGAACACAGCCGAGGGGGAAAGTATGTTCGCTGTTGGAGCCAACGACCATGGGCAGGCGTGGGGGGGTGTCCCGGGCTCGGGCAGGACGCTTGCGCGGCTTCCCTCCTGTGAGTTTGGTGTTATTCGATTTTTTTCCACACATAAATTTCCAGAAATTCCATAAATCTGGTTGTTGTTACCTTCCTCGCTCGCTCTTTTCCTACACGCTTTCATTTTCCCTGTGACCTGCTGTGACGACGTGATGCCTTCGTGGGCACGTGGCCGCCAGCAGCGCTGCGTGATGAGGGCTTAGTTGATCACACGTTGCGCGTATCTATATGTGACACCCACGTGGGCTCGTCCAAGAGAGCAGGAGGCGCTACGTTGTAGCAAGTGTTTTTCTGGTGACCAAGGGCCCAGGGATGGCACAGCCGTGGAAGGGCGGGTGTCGGCAGTTGCACCTTGGACCTTGGGGGACCTCAACCGAGCCGCCGCAATAAAAACACGCCTCTGCTTCGCGTGCTCGAGAGCGGTTGTTAGAGAGATTTGCCCCCCGCCTGGCGTGTTTCTGTATCACCAAGGGCGGAAACGGGCGGGCGATTTGTGTGTGTTGTACAAAATCTCTTCGTCTGAAAACAACAGGCGGCACGTTATTCAAACTGCAACAACCGCTGCTCCGTGCTGTTGGCCAAGAGTCGGCTGCGTCCCCCACATCCCCACACAGCAGGCAGCAGGCTTCCCCTGACTGAAGGCCCCATGTGTTATCTACTTCGGTGGTTGCCCTCGAGAGCTTTATGTACGTGGTCGTAAAAGCACCAGCCCACCAAAATACCCGACTGTACTTGCGCCCGCGAAGTGTCATCCGTGGAGGCATGTTTCGTCAGCAAGATGTTGTTGTTGCCAACGACAGGAGCAGCAGTTGCGTCAAAGGCGTTACACGTAGTACGACGCCCCGCCTATGTTTTTCGTTTTTCCCTGCTGTGGAACCTTTCGGCGAACGTCGCGCAGCTACACACGTGCACACAGATAAATCATCAGTGTATAGACTTCAAAAGACTCGAAATAAGTCCAGTACCCAGCCGGTTTCCCTCCACTCACTGAAAAGACTCCACCACATCCCGTTCGACTGTGGGTATTCGAACCGGTCGCCCCGGTGGTCTAGTTGGTAACCTCGACACCTTCTAGAGGTCAGGTCAGGGGTTCGAATCCCGGCGTAAGCGAGCTTTTCTTGCAAAGTGAGTTTTTCTCTCGCTTCCGCTCCTGGCCTATAGTGGATGGCGCTAGTTCGTGTGTACACAGAGGGAAGAGAGCGCTGGACTCTTCTCGCATTAAAAATCGAAGGCAAAGTACCGCAGGAGGGGAGGGTAGAGAGGGGCTCTTCTGTGTGACCACGGGTTGGAGTAAAAGGGACTATTTAGTGCTGTGAGCGCTGATTTGAAGTGAAGACAAAAAAAAAAAAAATCTCGAATGGGTCTAGTCTTTCTGTGTGTGTTTTTATTATTCCTTAATTTTTGTGGAACATCATGCATGCGCCCCAAACCGCCACCCATCCAGTCTATGCATATGCGCGCTGGTTCGAAAGAAGCCCCAAATTTTTGTCTGTCATTCGATCGCTCAAGCTCACGGTTTAGGCTTGTGATGAACCACCCCAGAAGGTGCTAGCCCTCCTTCATGAATCTTGAAGGCAACACCCTCCACATGTTTCTGGGAAGCTGGTTTTTTTTTCTGGAGAGGGCGGTAAAACTTCAATGTGCTATGTACCGCGCGGAATGTTGATCTATGTACGTATAAAGCTTGAGTCGTCCTTGCGTCTAAAGTGCTCCAAAGGTACTCCGGAGTACATGTATCGACACGGCCTGTAGTGGCAGCGGTGGAGTGTGTCGTGTTGTCGCAATTAGTATTCGAAGTTCAAGATGGGATTGCAGCAGCGAAGACACATCAACAACACTACTCTTCGCCTCCCTGACTTCAACCCCGTATGTTGTGTGTCATCGTCGTGCCATCCGTTTTCCGCGAAAATCGCCGCTAGTGGAATCGATGTCTATGTATTGACGTCCGTTTACATGTCATCCAACGAGAGTTTGGAAGGGAATCTACATTTGAGAGCTAGACTATGTTTTTTTTTTTTTCTTAATATGACACTACGAATCCATCTCTATCATAGAGTCTGAGACAGATTAGCAATGAATTCATAGCGTCAGAAAGTAGTTGTACATGTCTACGATTTCCCAGACAGCATATAGGGACATCTCCCCTGCGGGTAACAGGCTCAACTTTCATTTCAGCTTGTTGACATAAAGACCAAGAGAAAGGCAGTCTTCAAGATTCCTTGTCACCATGACCGTCGGTCCCAACAGCGGGGAAAAGCCAAAACATCGCGGTATCTATCATCTCGCGGTGCCTTTAGTTCGCAGCTGAACGTTTGACAAGCGTACGTTGCATACATACAAAAGTTCGTTGTCACCTGCATGTTTGTTCGTAATGCTTCTTCGTTCACCGACACGTACAGAAACAATCCTGGTTTATTTCTTCGTCACATGTGACTTGCATGCAGCGAGGACGGACGTGAATGTGAATGTGTTTTTGTGAGGTGAACGTGACGTGGGGGTAGGGAGGGCAAAGTAATGTTTTGCATGCCTGTAGCGGTTAGACAAGTGACCACGCGTCCTTGAGAAGACGGAGCATGATTCCCAAAGGATCTGTCACCTATGGCCAACAATTGTTCCCTACTATGCCAAAGGTGATGCTGATTTGAAGTGAAGACAAAAAAAAAAAAAAAAGGTGATGGTGGGGGACCTTGACCGGTGATCCTCCGCATGGATGTCGGCCACATCCATCCGCACTCGGAGGCGAAAACTTGCATTTCAGACAGAACCACGGGCACTTGCTATCCGACGGCCCTCTCCCTCTGCAGGGAGCCCTCCTCTAAGGGGATCCCGTTTTGACGAGAAGCGTGTCCGTGTCTAGACACGGTTGGGGTTGTGTATCCTACTACTACTGTTAGACTGACTGCCGTCTCTTCCTTCATGTTCCGGTTAGCGCCGGTCGATGCTCCTGCAGGCCAAGACAGTCGCACGCGCGTGTACATGTAGAAGCCGGGCAGCGGTTTCGCAGCAAGGAAAGCTTGTTACAGGAGTAGTTGTTTTCTCCTCCAAGTCTACACGTTGGATCCCAGTTTTACACCTTCGCCAGTTTTATTGTTACCTTCGGTGTGTTCGGACGCACCAGACATGCGGAGAAAGCACAAGCACAGCACGTGTGCTTTTCTAGCTCGGTTTCCACACCTCTTCTTGTAGGTTCAGGTTGGCGCGATGGAAATGATGCCCCGTGGGTCTGGCAGACCCCTTCTGTTGTTCGGAAGTACCTATAATAGCACACACGGTCGGAAAAGGGGGGGGGCATTTTCGCGTTTTTGGCGAGAGCGAGGGAGGACTGCCATGTTCACACAACGGGAGCGCACGTTTTGTGCAGATTTCGGGGGACTCCGCACGCCCGATGTGTGTACACGGGAGGGCTGTTGAGCTGCAACTTGGTTCACCCTGGTGCGCGGTGCTGTTTGCGTCTAGGTCCCCCCGAATCGAGAGGAATTTTTATACAAGATCCATGTTCTGCATGGGCATTCGTCGTTTTGGCAGCGAATGCGTCAGGGCTGCATTTGGAACAGTTCGGGCGTTTGGGCCATGCAGGGGCGCGGTCCCGATGCCTTCTCCCCCACCACACACACACCCTACCCGTAACGCCTGCTAGTCCGCTGGATATATCCCCAAATATGCATTTTTCCCTAAAGAGGATAGCTTGCCCTGTGCGAGCAACACACACAATACACTAATTTGGCAACTTGACGCAAGTACTGAGACGAGGGCAAACGTTGCGTGACACGGACGTTTTCCAGCCTCTCGCACTCTGAGCGCCCGTCGAGCGACAGGTTTGCCTCTGCCAGCGTTCCTGCGTATTTGGAGGAACGGGCTGTCGTGTTTCCTCCTGAAAGAAAAACAATATTTCAACGGCGAACCATATCCTTGTGGGTGGACTCAGCTTGTGAAGTCTCAGGGTGGCTACGGACACGGGTAATGTACTGCGAGCCGAAAATTGAGTCATGAGGGCACACGGAGCGGGATTTCTGACGTCCTGTTTCCACCCCTCTTCTGTTGGCTTTGAATTGCTCTTTCCAGCATCGACCCAGCGGCGTATGGCGAACCAAGGCCTACAAGACCTGTACGATTGGCTGGGGGGTGACAACTGGAAGTGCCGCGACGGCTGGCTGGACCCTGGAAGCGACGTGAGGGAGTGGCACGGGCTCACCATTACCACCTCTGGCGACTTGGTGTCGATCAACCTCATCAGCAATGATCTCGAGGTGGGCTTGAAGAACACAAGTCCCGCGGCATTTTCTTTTTTGTTTGGTTTTGCAGGGTTTCTTGCTTGGGCGTCTGTGCCGTCTTTCGAAACGAAACGAATACCACCTTAAGATACAAACGACATTTTTGCGTGTTTCTTACTGTAGCGTCAGTGCCCCGTCTGGCGAAACAAGTACACCCGAGATAAAAACGTGACTTGTGTCCAGCCGGACTACTGTCGTTGTTTCTCCTCGGTAGTTCATTCAGCTGACCGAGATGCCACAGAGCCCGAACACGGCAGTTTACCCGGGCGATTGTAGTAGCGTTTGTCTCTTGCGACTTTCCTGAAAAGGTTTCCTTTTGAAGCCGCAGGGAAGGCAAAAGAGCGGATTCGACAGACAGGCTACGCTGCAGAACACGCAAGCACACGTGCCCGCCTCCATCTGACATCTGACGGGTCGTTCGGTCGCGTTGCAGGGAGAGATGCCCGAGAGCCTGTGCAACCTGTACTCACTTCAGCACCTCAACCTGTCCTACAACTTCGGTCTGCGAGGTTGGATCCCCGAGGGGCTCGGCGACCTCATCAAACTCAAGACCCTGCATTTGTACAGTGCTCTTTTGACAGGTGAGAGGGGCGGGGGGGGTACGCAGTGATATCAACGCACACCCTTCTAGAGAGAGGATGGGGGGGGGTCGTAGGTTGCTCGCCTTTGTCCCCGAATCAACAAGAGTCCTCTGAAATGTTAGGGTTGCTCAAACATCGCTCGTTGTTGGCGTGCCCCCCCCCCCTCCCCCACACTCTTCTGCCGTACCAGGCGCTATCCCCGAGTCGCTTGGCCAGTTGCATAGCCTGGAAGAGCTCTTCCTGCACGGCAACCGCCTCACGGGCGAGATCCCGCCATCCCTCGGCAACCTCAAGAGCCTGCGGAAGCTGTTCCTGAACTCGAACGATCTCGTCGGCACCGTGCCGCCGGAGCTGGGCAGGCTCTCTTCTCTCGACACGCTCAACCTGAGCTGGAATAACCTGCACGGGGAGGTGCCCGCTAGCGTCAAGAACCTGGTGAGCGGCCGGAAGAACCGACTTCGGAAGGGGAAAGCGGGTAGTGTGTTCCTGTCTCTTTGGTCCCTCTGTGTAGGTGGTTGTTAGACATGGGTGTGCTCATGAATAAGGCGCGCGTACGGCCTAGCGTCGTGCCCCCGGGCTTTTCGCTTGCCGAGACGCCTTCGTGGCCGTCTTGCATTCACTGGCATTGTACACACGCCCTGTCCTTCGTAAAGCGGAAGCTGCCATCGCTAAAGAACCTCCATGTAGTGCACGAGGTTCGTTTTTTCCTTTCCCTTCCTCTGCTACTATCTAGTGACGAAATGTAGGGTTCTCAGCCCGAACTCGTGGTAAAGTTCTCAACATTCTACTTTATTTGAGCCTGAAGTCCTCAAACCCTTCCGAGGTGCTTATGTAGCCGTACGTTCAGAACTGCGTGGGGACATTGCATGCACAGCAGCAGCGGGCTTTCTCCCCCACACGCGCAGGGGAGGTTCAACCCCCATGTGCTCGGGGGCGCGTGCCATCTGATATGTAGCTCCGTGTTCGAAGCGCTATGTATTGGGTTCGTTTCTTGTAAACCTGCTGTGGGAGCGTCTGTTGCGTCTGCGCCGCGTGTGCCCATGCCTCTCCGTGTGGGTGGGGCCCCGCCCGCCTGTTTGTGGGGTTGTCGACCGACTGACCGACCGTCGTCGTTGTTGCGTTGCTCCGCCCTGGTCGATGTTCTTGCAGCAAAACCTGCAGCTGCTGTCCATCGAGGGAAACGAGCAGCTTGTGTTGTCGCGGAATTCGCACTACGGCGGACAGGTGACAGCGCGGAGGTTCTCTTTCTTGGCTTTTTTTCAGTGTCGCTAGCTCGTGCCCTTCGAGAGCGCGCGCAATTCGGTGGAACAAGAATAGACGCAAAGGCCCGGATATACACGCACGTCTCTAGCTCAGCCAGAGGCGCGAGGAATGCTCTTTGACTCCACGAAGTCAATTGTCAACAAAGAAGAGATAATACATCGCCCCCCCTGGTGCGGGCAGTTACAGCTTCCGCATATCATATGTCAGCTTCTGCAAGATCTCTCCCTCCGGAGTGGGTTGAAGAGAGCACCGTGGCAGGGGTGATGCAAGAACATGCAAAAAGCAAACGAAGGAAAAACAGATACTAATTACATACGTAAGACTGTTCAAACCGACAGCCCGAAGACAATCAAGCAAGGTACGTAGCCTTACAGCCTGCCTGTGACGGCATGACGTCATACTTAGCTGCTCACGAGAGTCGTTATACATACTTTGGTATCTCTCTGATGATTTTTGCGGGTTACGTTCGGAGGGACAGCCCAGTCTTGAGAAAGACTTAAGACTACGACTTACAAATCAGTACAGTCCACAGCAGCAATACCTTACTGTGTGCACTTGGGACAACGACTGCTGTACAAATATGTGCCGCCCGCCGTTGTTTTCAGGCAACGTTCGAGACGAGCGGGTCGTCGAACCAAGCCTGGGAAGCCGCCGAGGAGGCGATAGAGTTGCACACCGCCGCGCACTTGGGGGCCGCCGGCGAGGTACGGCTTCAGCAATAGGTTCCAGCCACTTCAACCAAGGAGGACCAGGTTATAACCTTCCCGCGGGCGAAGTAGCAGCGGTCGTAGGTAGCCAGCGCGGTAGGTACCCTTTGTGAGTTGGTATTTGGGATAGCCCTTCTTTTAGTTCCTCCCGCGAACGACGTCGCTTCCTTGGCCGTGTGTTGGTACGAGCCTACGGTAGCCAACACAGCTGGTATATTTATATATATGTATTTTTTTTTCGGTCGGCACCCTTCGGTATTTCTCAAAAATATGTCCTTTGGAATTTTACTCTCTTGTTCGGTTGGCGCCGTTTAGCAGCACTTGAAAGATGTGTCACAGACGTGACTTGGTTGTACAAGGCGAAGCGGGCAGCCTTTCAGCTGGCAGTCGTACCATTTGGTCGTCGCATTCGAGCACATGGACCCGTCGGCACTATTACTGTAGTCCCACTATCCACATGCGTGGCTTCGAAGACAAGGGGAATGATTTCCGCGAGAAGGCTGCCCATGTCGCCTGCGTTGTGGCTACCACCTCCGCAACCATCTGTGAAACATCTTTTGAGTGCTGTACAACCGTGCAGCTTGTCTAAGAGCAAACTTCCCAAGGGAGACATTGCAGAATGAAAGGAAACTAGAGGCCTTTTGCGAGACTTGGGGGTTGTGTTGCCTTTTTTGCTGCGGAAGGCGCTCCGTACAAGTTGGGGAGTTGACGGAAGAGATGTCGGTTGGTTCTTTCAGCAGCGCCTTCCGTCGCTGTAACCTTAGACGACCCTTGTAGGGCCAAGTTGTACCTGCTACTAGTACATGGTAGTGCCGGTGGAAAGCGAATAGCGGCCCGTACTTAGAGTCCCCTACTCTTGTGTGTTGGACGTTTCAAGGGCACGGTCCGCCCGGGCACGGAGGCATCATTTTTTTGGTACGTGAAGGTCACTCCCCCCCCCGCCCCCGATCCCGTTCTCTTCTTTCGCGACCCTCGTCTCTGCCCCCAAATGATCGTGTCCCGCCCTTTTCTCAGCATTCCGCTGCTCATCTGGGCTGAAGAGGAGGGAGGTCGTGTGTGTGCGCGGTGGCCCTGCCAGTTGACCACACGCGCCCATCATCATCCTCCTTGTCTGCTCGTGGATCGTCAAACGCTTTGCACCAACTGCTCCACGGACGCGCGTTTGGAGCTGTTTTGGGCTCGTTATGTTTGTACAGTATGACGCCGGGGGGATGAAGAGTTTAAGAACGAGTGAGTGAAGGCTTGCGATACCTCCAATATCGTTTGCCCCCTCCTCGAAAACACACACACGCGCACACCCCGCGGAGTGCACATGTCCTTTCGTTTGGTGTGTTTTTTGTGTGTTTTGGTAAAATACGCGTCTCAAGGCCTCTGGCTTTTCTTGAGCTTTTCAGCAGCGGCGGCCCAGTAGCGGCGAGTGTCGAGCACACGCCCCCCCCCCCCCCCCGCTCCCCATCGTCTTGCGTGCTCAGGGTGTCGTGACGTGTCAAGCTGGAAGCACTCGAGGCTGCTGCGTACCAAGCCTTCTTTTATGCTTGAATAGCCCCCCCCGAGGTGGTGGTCGTAAGGTGGTTGTGTCATCCACTTGGAGGCCACTGCGGTAGTAGCCTCTGGCCGTTCGAAGCCCGTGTGAGTTTTCAGGCCGATCGAACTAGAGCTGTATCTACATTTTGTGCGATTTTTTCGATGCATGCAGCTGCGACAAAACGAGAGTTGTGTGATGAGTTTTGGTGTCGTGGGGGCGCCAGTGTGTTGGGGTGGCGGGTTGTAAGCGCATGGCACGCGCTTGCCGCAGCCACCGTTGGAATGGATGGAGTATACATGTATTTCTCGGTTGGGGGGGTGCGAAAAGAAGGCTCTCAGCGTCTGAGCGGTAGGTAGTTCTTGTGTCGGATGGGTTGGTTTCTCGATGTAGATGTTTTTAATCGTCCTGGGTTTTGTCTTGCATGATCTTTGGGATTTAAAAGTCCCTTCGTTTTCGCCAGAATTGATTTGTGTAAATTCATCCTTTGTATTGCGTTTTTCCATCTCTCTTGTCGCGCAACTACAGCTAACGGTTTCCAGGGCGGGGTACGTCGCAAACCAGAGACAAGTCGTGCTATTGTTCCGTTCAGGTACACACTTTGGCGACATTCTCTTGCCCACGGCCATGCGTGGCATCGTGGCGGCGCAACACACAAGCGCCACCGCCGTTTTCTGCTGTTTGTCGTTTGTTGTCGCTTGTTGTTGTTTGTTGTTGATGGTGGTGTTGTTGTTGTTGTTTACGCCGGCGCCGATGACGATGGCGTTCGATTTTGTGTGGTAATTTTTTCAATTTTTTTGTGTGCGCGTGCGTGTTTGCAACATCGGGTCGTGAAATGTTGAATGTTTGATGGAGAAAAAAGAGAGGCAAGGAGGGTGGGAGGTTATCCCACAAGCGGACCCGCAAAGTCTAGTAGCCCAGTTGTGTCGGGGCTGCTTCTAGAGGAACACGTGGGTGGTGGCTTACTACAATAGGGAAAGTTTGTTTGCCAATGAGGCAAAATCGGAGAATCACCATCCCCGACCGACGAGTTTGGGAATGTCGCGCGTGTGTTCTGCTGCGCACGCCCGCCGGACAGGTTGACTATTTAGATGATTTTTTTTTTATATACAAAAGTGTTAAAAACAAAAACCTTGGGTGGCATCGTGCATAGCTCGCCTCCGCCACTCACTGCCCCGGTGCTGTCTGGTTTTGTTTTTCGGACACCGGGGTGCATTTTTTCGACGTGGACTTTTCAGAAGTTTCCCCGCGGCGGGTCTCAGTAGATCACGGAGCGAGCGACGTGAGCAGCGCTGCTTGAAATAGTCCATGTGTATACTAGCATAGCTGGAGTGTTGTGTTTTTATTAAGGGGAGGGGGGGGGGTGCTAGCGGCACCTCTCTCTGTCGTTCTCAGAAGAGAGCGTACAGAAAAATGTATGACTTGTCTCCGGGCGGGTATGTAGTAGCAATGTTATTGGCGGTGCGTACAGCAGGCATTTTCCCGTGGGTTGTATTGTTTGGGGTGGTGGCGGGTGCGCAAGCTGGCGAGGGCGGCTGGCGAGGGCGGCCGGCTCGCCAGGCACGTCGCGCTCAGGGTTAATGATGTAATCGGCCGGTCGTAGACGGCGTTGTTGTACGACACTTTGCGATGTGGGAGAGATGGGCAAGAGGGTACAAACACTGCGTGGGAGGGTAGAGAACCGGTACGAGCGAGCTTCGATTACAATGGTTGGATTGAGTCCTCGAGTGCCGCGTGGGTGAGTGGAACCTGTCTAGAGTCTCCCGTGGTGCTCTCTGCGTGGCAGGGATTGTGTGTTGGCAGAAAGGAGGATGGGGGTGCAGGAGGAGGAAGAGTTGGAAAGGGAGATTAAGCGTTGAGTTGGGAGAAAAAATTAAGAAGAGGATCGCGACCGCAGAATGAAGAAGAGCGGTCGCGGGTGGCGAGAGTGTTATGTCCCAACAATGATCAGCTACGGTCGGCGGCCGCAAAATGCGCTTTGTTGCGTCTATTGTTTTTGTCGTCTCATCTATTGTGGACATTTGGGTCTTCGTCTACACCTTTCTGCCGATGGACCTATGCATATTCTCCAGTCAAAATTCGGGGCTTGACAAGGAAGGTGCCCGCCTACAGCGTACTGTGGTCACGATTCTTGTGTCAACAAAAAACGCTGTTGTCCCCGTCGGCGTTTCGCGCATGCGAGGTCTCTCACTTACTACACTTCGCTCATGTCTAGAGAGAACAGACAGTCAACCGCGGTTTCAACCCGAATCGAACGAACTTCCCCGGTACTGAGATGGCCAAACCTGTGGGAAAGGTATGCCGGGCAGAGACCGTAACGTCTTTTGGTGTGAACAGCAGGGACATGCGGAACCCGTGTCAACCGCAGGAGGTTTTCGTCCCTCTTGATTTAACCGTGAATATTTGTTCGAGCAACAGCGCACCGGGGGTGACAACTATTTTTGTGAACCATGCCGCTCTTGGTTGTGTTTGTCGCACTCCGGCACGATGATTCCGAGGGGTGGGTGCGAAACCCCTGATGGATCCCTACAATTTTCGGTGTGGCTTTTCCAACGCACCCCCGGTGCAATAGTTCCGATAGGTGCGATACTCGAATAAAGAAACACGGCGAGCGGTCTTCTTTGTGTCGACAAGGCTTCACAGTTAGTATGTGTTTTAGCCTTCGAGGGGGTTGGATCATACGACGTGGGTGAGAGTTGGACTTACAGGGTAGACGACGTGATGGATGCCATGCATCACATCTGACGTGGGGGCATGTACGTATACGCAGGGCGCGCGTTACAGTACTAGACTCTCCTCGTTTACGGTACTTCGTATAATTCTGACGATGACCCCGACACACAAAAGGAGTTGCGCCCCGATTATACCCTCACCACATTGAACGTACCGACTACTTCAGATACCACCCATTGAGCTCACAAGTATCCCGGAGCCACGTAGGGTATCACGCGATCTTACGCCCGAAGCCGGACTTCTGTCATATATCCGTGTTGTCGCACCCTGTGCGACAACGCCCACGTACTACGCACACATCCAACTGTCCCCGTGACATCTTACAAAAATCTACGCATTATGGCACGCGCTTTCGCTTCGTCTCCAGTGAAACATTGCACACTTCAGAACGGGAAGGTCCGAGGTTAGGTGTCGACCGAGTACATCGTGAAAGAGCCGCTGCCGTCGAAGCTGACGTCTTCGAAGCTGGATTGGCGGTCTCCCCTCGGATCGTTCCCCATCAGCGGTCTGGAATTTAGCCCTCCGACCCCTCCCCCGGGGCTTCCGATGATGTTGTCGCCTCCGACGCGGGTGATGCGTTGGATTCTGGCCACCTCTGCCGCCGCAGACGCCTGGAGCATGATCCGCATGCCCTCGTCTTCGACTTCGCTGCCTTCCTCCCCAAACAACGTGTTCTCGCCCGCTGCCACCTCTGATGATACGAAAAAAAACGAAAATCACGCGTCCAACGAGGGGTGGGAGTGTCCGCGTGCTACATGGCCGAAAACGTTTGTTCGTGCAGCCGTGGGTCGCATTCATTCGTAGTTCGTTTGGACATAAATGTAATTAACCTGCTTTGCGCACACGCGATTTTCCCTTCGTAGCGCGGCCATACTTGGGTGGTGATCCAGCGCCTTTATTCCTGTGACTATGTAATTTGCTGGTGTTATGGCAGCTCGGGCTTCATTCATTCAACGGGGGTAGGGGCATCTATGGGAACCGCGCTCGGTCCGGACGTACAACGTCCCTTGCTTCGAAGAGGGGGTGGTTACCCCACCTTCGCCAGAACTAAACCGAGCTTGGCAAAGCTATGGAGTATGGAGGAAGGCCTGTGATTCAGGCGCGGCTTCAGGCAATGAACAGCAACCAAGAGTTGTAGACAATGTGGGAGGTCGCATCATCACCCGCTCACCCTTCAATGCACGCATCGCCGCGACGGTCAACGGCGCTTGCTTGAACTTCACCAGGAGGTTCTCCGCGAGCATCTGATGTGCCAGGTGGTGTTGGAGAGTCCGACGAGCATCCACGACGAGCCAACGACAAAGCACCGCGCGTGGTGTGTTGTGTTCTCGCGGATCGTTTGGCCAGCAATACAGAAAGCGCCCGCAGTTAAGAACCTCTAGTTTTCGCCTGGGTTGGGGTGCTTAGTTCCTAGGGTGATGCTACGAATGGCCGCTCTTTATTGTTTAGCGTAGGGATTCTTGACTGAGCTCGCAAATATTATATGGTCCTCAAGTTCTTAGATTTTTTTTATTTGTTAGGCTCCACTTCCTAACTGCCATGTTCTTGAGTGCCGGCGCTTTCTGTACAGAAGTTGGCGCCATTTCTGTGCATTCAGAACACACCAAAGGCAATGCGTGCGTGTTTCAGTTTCGTTTTGTTTGTCGGAACTAGAGGTAAGGTAGGCATCAATTTGTACCGGTGCGAGGGGAAAAGCTTGGGATGGCTGCCGCTACGAGCACCTCTGAGGTTCTTGTTAGACAATGGTCCAACCCCTCGAATGGGGTTGTGGTCTATCTCACGACCTCGAGTCCTCTGATGTTGTTGAGATGGTTTGTTCGACAACCGTGGTTGCAGCACCTTTGCGAAGGGGGGTGGGAGGGGGGGGGAAGAACGAATGGTAACTTAATAAGCGATTTTCATTCGTGTGCCACGGCTCTTCGGGCTGGGGGGCAACGCATAATGAAGTACCGAAATTTGAATTTTGGAAGCAAAGGATGGTTCAAAGAAACAGACGGATCAGAACCCGAGAATGAATACATGTACAATTATGGGCACTACAGCCACTACTACTCCTGTTGGGCTGCTGGCAAGAAGCTAGGCTCAAACCTTGGCTATTTCGTCACGCTGTAGATCCAGGACGTGCGCCCTAGTCTCCTCCTCCAGCGCGAGAAACTCTTCGCGCTTGGTCAGCCACAAGGCCGCGGCGTTCCTGTAGGCGTTGCTGACATTGACCTCGTTGGCCGAGCCCTCGGCGAGGTAGTTCTCCACGATGTCCGACAGCGCTCCGAACTGCTCGTCTGGGTCGCTCAGGCTCTCGTAGTTGATGGTCACGTCCACGAGGAAGTCGACGCTCTCGCCGCACAGGGACTCCTCGCAGAAGTTGATGAGCAGGCCTCGCAGGGTCCCGTTCCGGAGCATCTGGAGCACCCCCCACGTCTCCGGCTTTCTTTCGTCCCCCCAGCCCCCACCCCCCTTATCGGCCTGCTGCCTGTTGTGAAAGTGTTCCTCTTCCTCGTCGTCCCCCGAGTATATTCGCCGGGCGGCGTGGATTCCGTGGAGGGATCGATGGCTACCCACCCCATAGAAAGCCTTCAGCGGCCGGTAAAAGCTGTAGTGATGGTGAGGCGTAAGTGGACGGAAGGGCGGCACGGAAGTTGCGTTTAGGGAGAAGTTCTCTCTCACCGGAAAGCTTCCTCCCTACGCTTATCATTAGGTTACGCCTTCTAAATGTGTTTGTTTTGGGGGCTCAAATGCCAAGGGGGGAGCGTGGTCGGCTACCCCCGAAATCGCAGAAAACTCGAAGACGCTGGAAACCCGAGTGTAGCGACTCAGCAGCAAACAGTGTATACTTCACCGCGGGTGGTTTACGAGCTATGGTTCCTAGCTTCTCATGCCACAGAACAATACGTTCGACCAGGTCGTGTACGCTTGTGAAGAAACGGAGGGGGGGGTCTGTGTCAGGCTTATCGGGAATGCCGGTGACGGCCTGCTGCAGACGGTCGTGATGACCGTCGCTGCGAAGCTGACCGCTTGTACCGCAGTGTGCTCGTGAGACCGATACGATGGACGTACTACACCTAAGAGCCTATACTGTAGCATTGGCCCCCTGCCGAGCTGCAGCCGTGTTCATGAGAACCTCAAGAGGCCACACGCTCTCGAGATTACTATCTAAATACATGAGAGTTGAGATTAGACGGAAGGGAGCGGCGTGGACGAGTTTGTGCGTCTTGGATCGTCTGGACGAAATGGCAGCTTACATCCCTTCCTCGCATCCGCGAAGTACCGAGAAGAATCAAACCTGCAGAAACACGTGCCCAACACGTTTTTGTCGCTCTCGAGGCGCACTCAGAACGCTGGCGATTTACCTAATGTTTGTGATGTACTTTTACTACCGTGTAGGCGGTGGTCGACCAGCATATGGGAGAGGTACACACCTGATGTACAGCACTGCCGAACATGCCCCAAGGTCGTTCACCGTTGGAGGAAACGTCTCGTCCAAATCGCCCCACCAGGTTGTATGTGCCAATGAGGTGTGTACTGTTCTTGTTGCTGTCGAACGCAACCGCCAAGGTATAAAACAGTGAGCTATTTATATTTACAGTAACGAAGGGATTCTTGTAGCAACTACAGTACTCTAGGGCTTGCAAGATACATCGCGGTTCGCTTGCAAAGATACATCGCGGTTCGCCTGTTACGCCATTCATTTGATAATCGAGTAGGAAACGTTCTCGGGTACCGCAAAGTGTGTCTCGACATCGAATGAGAGGTGCACTCGTGTGCGTATCTACACACAGGGACAGGAGACACATATTCTACTTTCTGATATTCCTTTTCTTCCTCTTGCCTTCTCCTGTTTCTAACGTAGATGAATCCTGCACCCTGTGCTATTCTCATCTCTGGGGTCGTACAGAAGAGGTGCTTCACCGAGTCCGCTCCCACACCCACGACCCAACGGTTGAATTTTTTCGCCACAAGGCTCAGCAGTCCGACACGTTGTCGACAAAGCCGAAAACTGCCGCACGTATGTGCAGGTAATCCCCACGGAGACCGGTGACCCTGCGCTTTAGGGTCCTTCATCCGTACTTCCAGCAGTTTGAGTTTGCCGAGAGAAGCGGCGAAGCATAGCTCGAGCTTGTTGACATTGTCAAACCCGGACCCGTAAAAGAAAGCGATGGCGAAGAGAGGGGCGGACAAAAAGGTCCATGGTTGCGGCGCAGACACGGCTACCGTCCCCGCCTACCTGAAGTGATCGCCGTCGCCACGCACACGTAGCAGATTTCGTCCCTGATCTTAAACGCGTCGTTGGTGTTTTTCAGCTTGTTCGCCATCGCCGCCATCGCCATCAGATACAGCAAGGTTGTCGGAAAGAAAAAGCTCCATCTTTCGTCGAAGAAGAGGCATTGGCCCGCGTTGCTTCTGGAATAGGGGCACCGGGGTGAGAGGCGTCACAGGGAGAGACGTAAACGCCGCGCCGACTCGATCGTCTTCTGCTCGATTGCAGTGCTAGTAGGCAAATGGTGTCGGGCTTTGCGTTTCTCTCCAATGATCCCGAAAACTGCTTCAGCTCCACCACACACACACACACACGTAACCCCCAGAACCCCTGCTGATCAGCGTCGAGTGCCGAGTACCGAAAACAGTGCTCATGATTATCTTCGAGCAAGCAAAAAATGTCGAGCAATGACGGTTGATACTCGAGCGAATTTGCCCGTAACAACCTGTCACTGACTCTCTAAGCATTCAGTTTTATGTTGTCGTACAACACAAGCTCGACTCTTTCTCCATGAAGTGAAAAATTCTTGCAGAAATAAGCGCGTGTGACCAGGATGCATGTAGGAGTTCACTTTTCCCACGGCACAGGACGGTATACGCCAAGTCCAGCACACAGGAACAACCACACGGAAGCACAAAAACAAACAGAACCATCTACCCATCTCTCTGGTTGCACATGGCTCAAGCACCGGCTGCTTACCTTGCCCCCGCAAATCTGAGCTGGACTACAAGAGCGATCAAGCAGCAGGGCACGAGGGCGGCGGCCATGGCTTTTCGCTGGACTGAAGGCTTGACTAGTCGCTGGAACTTGCGCCTGAGCTCCCTGTCGTATACGACGACGAGCCTCGCCGCCCGCAGGAGGTATGCCGCGGATATCGTGCCGAACGAAATATCTGAAAAAGACCATCCATGTAGCCGAGAATAAGGGGGGCGAATAAGCAGGTGCAAGATTAAACGTGATGGTAAGAGACGACTAGGCTGCATCCATGGACAGTTCAGACGTCTATTTTATTTGTAAGTCTTGGGCTACCGTACAAACATGTATATGTGAACTTTCTTGTTGGATATTGATTAGCACATTGGCGAGATTAAGGCTCGGATTCCCGTGAGGAAAGGGAAGAGGTGTGTGAAAGGAGCGCACATTAAATGTTTTCCGTACAATACCGGTAAGCTTGTGTGGCAATGCCGTCTAAACTATGTCTCGTAGGAGTTCATTGACCGACGACCTGGTCTCTCAAAGGTCGCTAACATGTACACGCTGCTTGAACCAGTCCGAGCCAATTATCTTTTGCCAGAACAAATGATCGTCGAATGCGCACGCCATGCATACTTACATGAGGCCCAGATCGTGATGGTACATGGGAAGTTGGAGCCAATTACCTGCGCGAACACGCGTCGTGGGGAGGCACATAATTGGGCGGTGTCGAGCACTCAACGACAATGTCTGCGCTCCACACGCAACGTTCCAATTTCGCTTCATGCCCCACCTTGATCTCCTGGTTATATCCGCCCCCGTACACTATACGAGACATTGATTCGTGCTGTAACACATGCACTCTCATCGGCAACGTCGTGTACGTGCCAATCTGCATGTATGTGCGCTGTACAGCACCACACGGTAGTAGTACAGTACCACACACTGATGGCCAGAGATAATCGGTAAAATTAGACCATCCGGCTAGTCAGCGCTGACTAGCCGGATGGTCTAATTTTACCGATTAAGAGAGACAGGTTGGGCACCAACTACAACCTGGGGGGGGGAGGTTGGGAGGCCGAGTTCATCCTTGAACCCATTTCTTCTTTCGGCGTGCTATCTCGCTGTGTTGGTTGGAATAACGTCACTCTCCGAGATGCGGGAAAATCTGCACACTGCTGTGGGCTGCAACCTCCCTACAACCTGCCCCTCCCAGGTTGTGATCGGTGCCCCAACCTATCCACAACCTGCCTCTGGCCACCGGTGCATCGCTAGCCTATGTGAGTGTTGGAGAATACGAACGTGTGCTCACGACATTTATTTACGGCATTAACAATGTGAGGCTTGCTGTGGCGTATAGTTACCCCGGCCGTCATTTGCAGGAGAACCAAGGTGACGTGCGCGGCTCCGGCCAGGCAAAGCAGCACCGGCGATCTCGCGGCGATCTCGAAGCTTTCCTTGTGGCGCCAAACATCCCAAAGAAGACCAGTTCCCACGAGCACCATAAAAGTTGACGCATACAAAATGATACCTTTCACGAGCGAGCTCATTTCAAGAGAGTGGCACCCAAAGGACGGGACAGCCTCGCAAATACACGCGAAAAGCTGCTACAACATGCGCGCGGGCGACCTCTTCGTTTGGTCGGCGGAATGCAATAAAATGAGTATGTGACGGTTTCGGATCACGCATCTGCTCACCTTGTGGGAAGAGAATCTTATTTCCGCGCTCCCCGCTTTTTCTACGAGATTGTGCGTCAAGACAGCAATAATGCACGCTCATCCACATCATGCACGTAAAAGGGGGCGTGTCAAGCCTTCTAATATGTGACGCTCTAGAAGGCCGGCAGCACAAGCTATAATGTGGCCGAATTGGGTTGGCGTTACTCCGAACCAGGGGACATCAAGAAATATCCCCCCCTCAAAAAAAAAAGAAAAAAGAGGAGAGCGGGAGACAGACCGACCGACAGACAGACAGACAGACGAAGGCACGGCGCTTAGCTCGTTCTCGACAGGTGGCGATTTCGCGGAGGAGCACACACGCCATCGCAAGGAGGCAATCCTGATCCTGGTGGTTATTTGGTTCGTGGAGAGGTAACGCTGCAGCCGCGATGGCTAAAAAGCGATCGAGATCAAGGTCTCGGTCCAGATCGAGGGACCGTAAGAAGACCAAGGACAAGGGGAAGCGGGGCAGGTGCGCAAAACCGGGTAACCCAGCAATACGAACACCGTTTAGCCACCTTTAACCCCCCTCAATCTTCTAGTCCCCCACCCTATGAGGTGACAGTGAAGGCGCGACCTACAATGGATTTGACAGACTGGTCATGATTTTGTGTTGTATGGAAATTAGAGGGGTGCCCAGAGACTCCCTCCTTTGAAACGTGAGAAGAAGAGAGCATGCCGTGTGGTACAATGCTTCAGCGGGATAACTACACCGTCGCGAGCATCAACCTTCTGCTGTACATTAGTTCTCCTGCAACGGCGAATGTGACTTGTTGTCTACTCAAGACAGGCCTGCATCGGGTGAGACACAGCAATTTGTTTTACGCCTTTGGCCTAAATCTGGCACTTGTAGACCTCGCACATCTGATCTTGGCAATCCAGCTTGCCGCTCTCGCTGTGTGTTGTGCAGATACCCATCACACACGTTCACTTGCCGTGTGAGATGACGTCCTTCCAAGCTATAGATAGCAGAAGGGTTGGATCTACGCGATGCATTCATGTTCTGAGGCAAGCGCCTTTGCGGTTGATGGCTCCCCCAAGTCAACGCTGCTGTACGATGCAATATCCCTCACTTGTAAACTGTAAAGTACACCGAAGACTTCCTCCCCCGGCAGCACGAGAGATAAACATGTGCGTGCGGCACATTGTACAGCAGTAGATCCAACGAGACACAAGACTATCACCGATGTTCCTGCAGTTGTACAATCGCACTATGCGGACTTGGAAATGTGGGGAGTAATACAGCAGTGTATAGCACAAGACACTTTCTTCACAACACACACACACGTCCGCAACCCTTCCTATGTGTGTAACCCCCCCCCCCTCCCCCCCCCCGACAAGCTTGCCCCCGAGCCCCGTAGGGTATGTATCATCGTCATGACAAGACTTAACACGCCGTTAACGCTATGCATACAACAGTACCGTTTTCCAACCGAACAATGCCCATATTCCCACGTACCATATTTCGTCTCCAAAACCAGGGATGGGGATTTGGAGCTTCTCTCCAACAACCCTACAGCAGCAGTCCCGTTTTCCAACCGAAAAAACACCCATATTCCCACGTACCATGTTTCGTCTCCAAAACCAGGGATGGGGATTTGGGGCTTCTCTCCAACAACCCTACAGCAGCAGTCCCGTTTCCCAACCGAAAAAACACCCATATTCCCACGTACCCATGTTTCGTCTCCAAAACCAGGGATGGGGATTCGGAGCTTCACTCGAATCCTAGATACCGTTCACCAACCAAAATAAATACTCAGTTCCTACGTATGTTTCGTCCACCTCCAAAACCAGAGATGGGTCTCCGAAAAGATCGGACCGCGACAGGGGGGACCGAGGTCGCAGCGACCGCGATCGCGACAGAGGGCGAGACAGGGACAGGGACAAGAAGAGGGGGCGCAGCCGCTCCAGGTCGAGGTCCAGGTCTCTCGACCGGAAGCGTCGCGAGCGGGATAGGAAGGAGCGGGATCGGAGAGACCGAGACAAGCGCGGCAGGTATTTGTACTGCTGTTCGTCGGAGAGAGAAGTATTGATGAATAAAGTTGGATGAAAAAACATGTTTATTGCATGTGAGGAAGAAAGCCTACGTCTCGGTCAAGTTGTATATGTAGATTTGTCTATCCGAACCTTGCTGTGGGGTGTTCTTGTTGCCGTTGTTGCATGCCTGCCGTTGTCGCCATGCTTCGTGCAAGTGACGCGAGATCCTGCCGTCCCGTGTGCACTTCATTCATCTATGGTCGTCGTATCCTCGCTGGCTTCCCTCCCCCGCTCCGTCGCGGAAACCCGCTACCGCATACTTCCTGCTGTTGCATGCACGTCCCTCGTGATATCCTTTGGTGTGGTAACTCGGTCGCATGGCTTGCGTCTTACTCTACCCCACCCTACCCTACCCTAACCCTACCCTGCCCTGCCCTGCCGCAGTTCTCCCCGGCGAGGAGATCGAGATCGCGACAATAGGGATAGGGATAGAGATCATCGGGACAGAGGGAAGCAGGACCGCGCCTCCGCCAAGGACAGCAAGGGCAAGGACCAGGACGCCAGCAAGCCGACTAAGGACAAGCCCAAGGCAGCGGCCGCGGGGGGGGGCGGGGTCGACCTGCTCTCCAAGCTCGCGGCCATCAACGCCCGGGTGACCGGAAAGCCTGCTGTTGCGGTGAGTGGCGCCGTATTTTTGTTTGCCTGGTACGGGGGGTGTTAAGCGGGTCCGGATGGTTATTGTGTCTGTGTTCCGTGGTCGTGTGTGTCTCGAAATCTGTTGAGCGAGTGATGGTCGGACGGAGCTGTGCAGGTGGTCTGATTCGGTCTGTGTACGCATGTCATGTCAAGTTTCGTTTTCTCTTGCAAATACCTGGTGCTAAATACCGGGTGCTTTTTCGGGGGGGGGGGGAAGAGAGCAAAGGCAGCCAGTCGCGTAACCGGTGATACGGCCGGGTGTGATTATTTTGTGGCGTACGAGGGTCGCACCAGCAGCTGGAAATTTAACGTTTCGTCTTGGTCTTGCTCCAACTTGCTCCAATCCCCTTGTGTACAAAGTCGCCGATGATTTTTGCGCCGGGAGGGTCGCAATATTAGCAGCAGAAAGGAACACTTCTTTCTTTACTCCGCGTCGTCCACCTCCGTTTGTTCAGAGAGTCGCCGATACTTGATACAAATCGTCCTCATTTTCCTCCTCGTAACCCTCATTCCGCGCTCTTTTTGTCATCCCCTCAGCCGGCGGCGGCCGCGGCAGTCCTCGGGGCTACCGGTGCTGCCACCGCCTCCCTCGGCGCGCAGCCCGCTGTCTTGGCTGCTGCGGCACTGGGCGCATCCGCCGTCAGCATTGCTCAGCAAGCTCCCGCTGTTGTGTCCCCGGTGTCTGCGGAGGCTCCGGGGACTGGTGCCGGCGGCGGCGGCGGCGGCGGCGGTGCTAAGCTTGAGGCCTCTCTGCTGGCAAACCTGAAGAAAAAGATCAAGGAGAAGGCGGCGGCGCCCGAGAAGCTCAAGACGACGGGAGTGTCGTTCCAGGCGGTGGAAGAGGTATGCATGTGTACACAAGGAGGAGCTCGGCGACATCTACCTCAGTGCAGACATCGGTCAAGTTAGCTGGACCGTTGGCGTTTTAATTTAACATTCCTCGCGGTACTTTTTGGTGTGGCGGCCGCAACCACGTGTGAATCGCTTGTGCAAGTACCGGTGGGTAGATGTACCAGTTAGTTTGATTTAGTCGACGCGTCCACACGGTATCGCTCAAGATACGGCACTACTATCTGAACCGATGTCTCCTCCACGGTACTTTAAGTTGCTGCGTCCATACCGTATCGCTCAACACATGGCACTGCTGCATGAAACCCTTATCCTATCTACTACCCGTCAACGGTCTAACCGCTAAGGCATGCAAAACATGAGTACCCCCCCCCCCCCCCC